TTTCTAGTTTCTATTAGAAACTAGTGAGACTAGTCTACATTGAGATATTCAGTTCTTCTGCTTTCAGTCCTACCTCTGTACAAGATCTGTCTCTCTCATAACCACTGATTTTTTTTTTTTCTTTTTGTGAGGAAGATCAGCCCTGAGCTAACATCCATGCCAATCCTCCTCTTTTTTTGCTGAGGAAGACCGGCCCTGAGCTAACATCTATTGCCAATCCTCCTCCCTTTTTTTTTTTTTTCCTTTTGCTCCCCAAAGCCTCAGTAGGTAGTTGTATGTCATAGTTGCACATCTTTCTAGTTGCTGTATGTGGGACGCGGCCTCAGCATGGCCGGACAAGCTGTGCGTTGGTGCACGCCCGGGATCCGAACCCGGGCTGCCAGTAGCGGAGAGCACACACTTAATAGCTAAGCCACGGGGCCGGCCCCTCATAACCACTGATTTTAAGATCAGAGGCTCTTGTGGGGTGAAATGGATCAATTGGCATCTACTTCCTCTTAGTCTCCATATAGAATATTCTGGGCTTCAACTTTCTCTACTTTCACCCATAAACATGATCCCATCCATGTCATTCTTAAATTTCTTAAAATATATCTTTCATAGTGATGCTCCCTCCCAATCTTTTCACTCATATGAAGTTTTATGTTTGTTTGTTTAACTTCTATACTTTTATTTCAGGGGTGTTTCAGGAGAGAGTGAAGGCAATGTATATGTTCAAAGCTCCAAAATATACAACTTGAAATTACTGTATAGTTTGCCATCATTTAGATATACTGTAATTTATCTAACCAGTGCCCAAGTTTTGGACATTTTTTCCTAACTTTTTTCAATGTTATAGCTATTTAACCTCTTTATCTGGAAGGAAGAGGTCGGAGATAAGCCTATGGGGGCAATACATGAGGGAATGAATTGCTAGACACCTAAGCCTAACAAGGTAACCTGTGGAAGCTAAGAGCAGATGGAAAAGATTTTTTTTTAAAAAGTACAAAATCCCACACGAAGAACCCTCACATCCTATAAGTTAGACAGCCATGTGAGAAGGAGAGAGGTATTAAGGATATTAAGTAGATCTGGAAATTTGCATAGATCCTTGCCTATAAAATTTGTTGACATTCCTGATAACGTCCATAGAAAAAATTTTAAAGCAGGATTTCTCTATCTAAGTGTGTGGACACTTTTAAAAATCCTGATATTTAGTTGACAAATTTCCTTCCAGAAGGATTATACCAATTTATATCTCACCAGTCACCAACCTCTTAAAAACAAACCAAAATAGCCACAAAATTTGCTAGTTTTAGAACAAAATTATATCTTATTATTATCTTCATAGGCATTTCTTTGATTACTACTGATATTGAATATTGCCCATATTATATTACTCAAATGCTCAAACCAATCATTGATAGGTGTTGTCAACCTCATTTTAGACTGAGGCTCAGGGACTTTAAGAATTCTCAAGATCACACAGCTTGCAAGTGTTCGAAAGCATATGTGAACATAGACGTTACTTTGCCAAAAAGTAATTTAAGAACGTGTGACTTATCTGCTCATCTTTTTTTAATGGAAGATCAGATTATTCATCTTTCTGGACCTTAGACATAAATAATTATGTCAAACATGTTTTACTTCTTGAAACAAATGTATTTAAGAACCCTTTATTCTTTTTGTGTAAAGACTGGGAGAGGTGTCCCTGGTACGTAGGATTGTTGCACAACGTTGCAAAAACAGGTGATTTCAATTGACTCAAGAGAACTTAGCTTTGTCTGGAATCTGGATATCACTGTATTTGTCCCATGGCATACATATATATATATAATATTTTTATATAATATATTTTATATTACATAATATATATTATAATATAATATAGTATATAGATTTTATATTTTCAAGTAACAGCAAATTTTCATCTTTTAATAAACCACATGGCAAAACAATACTTTATTTAAGAAATGTGTAAGAAATTACAATTTGAAGATTGCCAAATACAGTATATATACATATATTGTGCTTTGATCTTAAATTACATGGACAAACCCCAGCTTCAAAATCTTTCTAAAATCAATCATATGCAAAATACCTGGTTTTTGAGGGGGCATATGGAAAAGTATATACAATTTCTTGAACTGTGATATGGCTTATTTAATAACATGTATTTATTTAGAGAAGCATATGCTTTCCAAATATACGATATTTTTCAGATGTCTTTATCCTAGCAAGTCTAAAAAATTGCCCAGTAATACCATTCTACCAACCTAAATTCTTTAAGATTTTTTGTGCAAAGTGTTAAATATCCTTCATCCTAAACTGGTAGCATAGTCTTCAGATCTGGAAACTGCCAGGAAAGTATGGTGAATAGTGGGAGTGACACAGTTGAACTGCCCTTTAGTATGGCTGAACCTGAAGAATTCCCTCATACCATCACTGCATGGAGGTTAAAAGTCCAGATTCTTAGTACTAATATGTGCTACAATGTGGATGAATCTCACAAACATTATGCTAAGTGAAAGAAGCCAGACACAAAAGGTACATATTGTATGATTCCATTTATATGCAATATCCAGAATAAATAAATCCATAGAGACAAAGTAGGTTAGTGGTTGCCAGGGTTTGGGGAAAGGGGGGAGTTGAAAAAAACTATTTAATGGATAGAGGGTTTTACTTTGGAGTGATGGAAATGTTTTGGAACTAGGTAGAGGAGGTGGTTGCACAGCATTGCAAATGTACTAAATGCCACTGAATTACCCACTTCAAAATGGTTAATTTTATGTTATGTGAATTTCACCTCAACAAATTATTAGTTTTTTAAAAGTCCAAGTTCTTGAACCCAACAGACATGGACTTGGAAACTGACTCTCACTTCCTAGTTGTGTGACGTTGGGCAAGTTGTTGTAATTTCCTAACCTGAACCCTAACTCTAGCCCTTTTGCCTTAAACCTCCTTTACCTTCGATGTCCATACAGTTGGGAGGACTGTTTGAGATGATGAACGTGAAGCCTTTAGCACAGTGACTGACACATAAGTTCTTAGGAAATGGTAGCTACTACTGCTACTACTACTAGCAGCAGCGGCCATAGGAGGAGTAGTAGCTATGTTCCAACCCAGATTCTTGGTATATTCGAGTGACCCAGTTGGAAGTCTCCCTTCAGGTAATTCAGTTAGAACAAATCACATGACATTGACTTCAGGCATGTATTCCCTCAGTGGAGTCCTTCTTTTGAAAGACAAGTTTTAGATCAAAACTTGTTAATTAATGTCAAAATGGAACCGAGTCTGGGAGAGCAATGAGTAGAGATCACATCCCTAAAACATCAAATTATCAGCTTTCTCAGGAGAGTAGTGGACCCTGCCTCCCAGTGTGTGCTCCTTAACTGAAAAGGGACCAACTGTGAAAAAACAGTCATGCCCCGGGGCATTTAAATGGAAGAGTGAGAAGAAAAAATGAATTTCACTGAGCTTCAGGGAAAGACAACTTTGGACATCAGTTGGCAGTTGCCGTGTATCTGTAGTGGATGGTATGTGTCAGACAGAGGTGCAGCTCGGTTTTAGAAGGTCTCTGTCCTCCATCTCCATCAACAATGGCATCTACAACAGTACTTGCTATTAATAGAATTCTCCAAAGAGCTCAAAGCACATTTGTTGCTTTACTGACTGACGTTCTGTTACCCACATATGCTTTGGTTTTATTTATTCTTCCCATGGGCTCCCCACATCAAGAGGAGGCTGGAACAATTTTTAAGAGATAGAAATGCACTGTTTTGTAGTCTTCTTGTGACTATCTAATTTGTTTTCCTGAAGCCTAATCAAATAAGATGTAAAGGACAGCCAACATAAATACCATTTATTTAATCAGGCAACAAAGGTAAAATCTGTTGAAATAACATGTTCCCCAGTGTAGGTCCAGCTTGTCTATGGAAGAGTGGAAAGTAAGAAGAGGCTGCTAAGGTCAAGAAAAGTGCATGGCCTTCAATGTGAGACTGTTCAAATGGACTTGAATTTGCATCCTGGTGCTATTAATTATTAGCCATGTGACCTTAAGCAAAACCTTAGCTTTTTGGGCTTTAGTGTCCTTATGTGAAGAATGGAGATAATAAAATCCACGTTCAACAGTTGTTGAAAGTATTGCGTGAGTTACTTTGTTTACAGTGGCTCAGTGCTCAGCAAAGAGCTGGCAATAAATGTCCTTTTCCCCTTGCACTAGGAGCTTCAAGAGAGATGCTGTGACAGCTTTTGTCATCATAATAGCCAGCAGGTTTTGTGTATTATTGTGGGTTAGGGAATGCTTACTTAGTGCTTTCGGTCCATTATCTCATTTAAATCCTTACATCAAGACTATGTGGTAAACATTATCATATTCAGCTTAATTGCAGAACATGAGGCTCAGAGAAGTAAAGTAATTTGTCCAAGATGGCTCTGCTAGAAGGTATCAGAGCTGATACCCAAACCCGAGTCTCCCTGGCAATGAAGTTTGCACACATAACTTTTTCTACCACCAAAAGGCTTCAACCATAGTCTGGCTGAGGTTTAGTTGATCTGCAGTCTGTTGAACTAGATCTTAGAACTATATGGTAGACACTGAATAGTAAACTTTTGGGGTTACCTTCATCTGGGGTCAGATTTCCAGCTTCAGAAAGACACTGTGTCCCTGTGGTTATTGTTTTCTTGGACCCAGAGAGTCTACTCAGTTGAGTGACCTACCCCCAAGAGTCTTTGAGACAGGACTGGCAGCTTCTGAAGAGGCCTGGCACACCCCAGGCACATACATGCAGCCCCCTAGATGGTGGTGGGCAGGTCAGATGACCACTGCACAGTTGGATGAAACTGAGTCAAGAAAAGCCACACGTGAAAAAACACTTCTTTCCAAAATGATGGTGCATCTGAAAAGGTGTAACTGGCAGTGATATTCTTGCTGTTCATTGAAAACCCCCCAGGCTGCTTGGGTAATTAACTTCCTAAGGTTAGTCATTAACAGGCTTCCTGCTTTCCTCCTCCTTTGACAGGCCCAGCTGTGAGATACAGTAAGTTCAAGATGTCAGAGGCCAGGCCGCCTCCCCTGCTTGGGCAGCACACGACGCACATCCTGAAGGAGGTCCTCAGATACGATGACAGGGCCATCGGGGAGCTGCTTGGCACTGGAGTGGTGATCCAACATGAAGCCGAGTGACAAAGGAAAAATGTTCTTTCTCAAAACCACAATCTGAATGCACTTTACTGGCAACAGCAATTGTCTTTCTGGACCCTTCTTCCCATTTCTGGTGCCTGCCTCAGAGAAGAAGAGTTAAAGTAATTCCAGATTTCCTGCCTGGCGCCTCCAGAATGGCTCAGGTATCAATGAATCTAGTGCCTTCTAAATGTACCCCACCTTTTATTCCTTACCATTTTTTCCCCCAGATAATAGATTAATTGTGGATTTGTAGGATTTTTTCATAAGGATTTTTTTTTCTGGAAAAAATACATTCCTCATTCTAATTGCATTAATAGCCTAAACGTTTGCCCCTCCAGCCCACGCACGTCTGAAAAAGAGCAGATCTCTTGACATTCTCTACTTGCACATAAAGTCCTCATTTAAACTTTTGTTAGGAAGTCAAAGCAATAAGCAGAATGACAGTCTCAGTGATTGATTTTAAACAGAATAACTTAATTTTGAGCTCACGAACCCTTTGTTAACCTATAATTTAAACCATGGACTGTGCTGATGTCCATTATAAAACTGAGCTCCATTCTCTCCCATGGGGGTAAATATTTGCTTTATGTTGTATTTCTCTGATTATTTCATGATCTGTGGCAGAAAATCAATTTCTACCAATACATTTTGGGTTGTAGGTATCTATCAGCATTTGAGGGCAAAGAATGGTTCTTTAATTGTTACCTTATTTTGAGCCAAGTGCAAATGCAACAGGTTCTTAAATGAATGTCAGATGACTAACTAGGTATTAAATAATGTATAAATAATAACGAACAGAAGAATGAAAGGAAAACATTTCTTTGTAATCTGAGTATCCTCTAAAGAAGAATATATCATGCCGTAGTATTAAGTATTTACATTTAAGTATTTGTCAGTGAAGTATAGAAAACATCTTCTGTCCAGAAGGTAGTAACTGTTTTGTATATGTGTTCCAGAATAAATTGTCACTCAGATTGTCAATCACCCAAACCCCAGTACAGACCAAGGAATCAGATGACCCCACGATCAATATCCTGATATGCTCTCAATTCACGGTGGTTAGGCACGCATATTTTAAAGCCATGTCATTACATACCAAGTGGTAATTGGAAATTAAATTACAGATGTTCATCTTTCAAACTGTGATTTGGAGCTAGTTTTCTTTTCGTGTTCTTTTTTATTGGAATGAGTTGAGCCATTTATTCATGCTGTAAGCCCCAATATGTTTCTAGAATCAAGGATTCCAAATAAATAGGAAATTTGTCTTCTCACAAGACCTCATGGGACTTTTAAGAAGAATGCCTACTAATTCTTGAAACAGTTATTGTCCTCCCCACTCTTCTTTTTGTGGACGCCTTATTCCATTAGTTAGAATTTCATCATACAAGGGTCATTTGATGCCTTCTACAGTATTTTTCCTCCAATAGCTAATTCATAGATATATATTTGGAGACATTCACTTTAGACCAGACATCTAAATGAAATTCTTCCATGTATATACAAATAGTAATGAAAATGGTAAAAGGGTGGATGACAGAGAATTGGCAAAACCATGTATCTTGAAAGAGAGATCTACCATTTCTCCTACTGACCAAGTAGATACCTTGAAATACAAATTACTTGGTTACTGAGCAGTAACCCTAAATATCTGGGTAGCCATATGTAGGAGGATACTGATCATTCAGAGAGTCACAAAATGCCTCTAAAACTTTGAAATCAATCAAGACTGCCGTCTTCATACATAGCAGAGTCACCACTGGAGACCATCTCCAGTGTAATCGTGTATGTAGCTATCCAGATTTCCACCTACACACTCAAAATGATCCAAGAGAACTTTGAACCTGTTCATCACACAACAGAAAGCATTTAATCTACTGATTTAGTGAGGGAAATGATTTAGAATATATTTCAAGTTCAGATACATAATTAGTCCTGAAAGAAACATTGTGCTTGCTAAAATTTCTAGCAATATGCCCCAGATCAAGTTATGCTTATAAACAAATGTGCTGTTTTAATTATGAAGGCCTATTATCTTACACATTCCCAAAGCTGAACGCACTACTAAGACATGATATGCTCAAGTTCAGTTTGTGTCAAGGCCTGCCTAGGTTGTCCTAGAAAATTCTTTGAAACTTAGTGGGTTAATTATTATGGAATTGAGGGTGTGTCCACAAGCAATTAGGCATCCTTCCCTTGATTTGTTCTTAAACTTTTTGCTGCCATGATTTTCTGGTTAATCAAGCATGATATTTTCCAACATACAGTCTGATACGCTGAATGTTTCCCTAAGAAGAGAAATGAACATTGACCAATTTTCTGTAACTTCCCCCGGTTACTTAGTGTTCTTTTGTCTTTGATCCACCTACTAGGAGTTAGAAGTACAATCATGATTTTAAAAAACAAAGAAGGACTCACATTGCCTATTTCATACTAGGTCATTAGGCTACCTAACCTAGAGACCCCCACAATGGGGGGCTTTTGCATGAAGACTTCAAGACCCCTGCTTTCAACCTTCTTCAGGGAAATTCACACCCACTCATATCTCACCTGAAAATGATATTTCCCCAGTGACTCTTTTGTCCTGTGGTGTTGGCATGTTATCTACTTGAAAAGCTTTATAGATGTGAGTCTTGCTTGTCACTCTCCCACATGGCTCAATGCTGCCTTTATCCATAGGACTCATTCTCCAGATAGTGTGCCTAAAGGCTCTGAGAAGGAATGCCAGCCCCGAGCTGAACAGACTGTCCAGATCTTCTGCCTCTCCTCTCACTCCTCATCCCCCATATCCTGACCCTGAGCTATTCATTTTCAAACTCATTCCCCAACATTATGAGATTCTTCTTGCATTTCTTTTTTTTTTTTTAAATTTTTTGTTTATTGCAGTAACATTGGTTTATAACATTGTAAAAATTTCAGGTGTACATCATTGTACTTCTATTTCTGCATAGATTACATCATGTTCACCACCAAAATACTAATTACAACCCATCACCACACACATGTACCCAATTATCCCTTTCACCCTCCTCCCTCCCCCCTTCCCCTCTGGTAACCACCAATCCAATCTCTGTCCCTATGTGTTTGTTTATTGTTGTTATTATCTACTACTTAATGAAGGAAATCATACGGTATTTGACCTTCTCCCTCTGACTTATTTCACTTTGCATCATGCCCTCAATGTCCATCCGTGTTGTCACAAATGGCTAGATTTCATCGTTTCTTATGGCTGAGTAGTATTCCATTGTGTATATATACCACAGCTTTTTTATCCATTCGTCCCTTGATGGGCACTTAGGTTGCTTCCAAGTCTTGGCTATCGTGAATAAGGCTGCAGTGAACACAGGGGTGCATGTACCTTTGCAAATTGGTGTTTTCAAGTTCTTTGGATAAATACCCAACAGTGGAATAGCTGGATCATATGGTAGTTCTATTGTTGATTTTTTGAGGAATCTCCATACTGTTTTCCATAGTGGCTGCACCAGTTTGCACTCCCACCAGCAGTGTATGAGAGTTCCCTTCTCTCCACAACCTCTCCAACACATGTTGTTTCCTGTCTTGTTAATTATAGCCATTCTGACGGGCGTGAGGTGATATCTCATTGTAGTTTTGATTTGCATTTCCCTGATAGTTAGTGATTTTGAACATCTTTTCATGTGTCTGTTGGCCATCTGTATATCTTCTTTGGAGAAATGTCTGTTCAGGTCTTTTGCCCATTTTTTAATTGGGTTGGTAGTTTTTTTGTTGTTGAGATGCATGAGTTCTTTATATATTTTGGATATTAAACCCTTATCAGATGTATGGTTTGCAAATATCTTCTCCCAATTGTTAGGTTGTCTTTTCGTTTTGTTGATGGTTTCCTTTGCTGTGCAGAAGCTTTTTAGTTTGATGTAGTCCCATTTGTTTATTTTTTCTATTGTTTCTCTTGCCCGGTCAGATGTGGTGTTTGAAAAGATGTTGCTAAGACTGATGTCGAAGAGCGTACTGCCTATGTTTTCTTCTAGAAGCTTCACAGTTTCAGGTCTTACATTCAAGTCTTTAATCCATTTGGAGTTAATTTTTGTGTATGGTGTAAGGTAAGAGTCTACTTTCATTTTTTTGCATATGGCTATCCAGTTTTCCCAACACCATTTGTTGAAGAGACTTTCTTTTCCCCATTGTATGTTCTTGGCTCCTTTGTCAAAGATTAGCTGTCCATAGATGTGTGGGTTTATTTCTGGGCTTTCGATTCTATTCCATTGATCTGTGTGTCTGTTTTTGTGCCAGTACCATGCTGTTTTGGTTACTATAGCTTTGTAGTATATTTTGAAATCAGGGAGTGTGATACCTCCAGCTTTGTTCTTTTTTCTCAGGATTCCTTTAGCTATTCGGGGTCTTTTGTTGTTCCATATAAATTTTAGGATTCTTTGTTCTATTTCTGTGAAAAATGTTGTTGGAACTTTGATAGGGATTGCATTGAATCTATAGATGGCTTTAGGAAGTATGGACATCTTAACTATGTTAATTCTTCCAATCCAAGAGCACGGAATATCTTTCCATTTCTTTGTGTCTTCTTCAATTTCTTTCAGAAATGTTTTATAGTTTTCGGTGTACAGATCTTTCACCTCTTTGGTTAAGTTTATTCCTAGGTATTTTATTCTTTTTGTTGCAATTGTAAATGGGATGGTATTCTTAATTTCTCTTTCTGCTACTTCGTTGTTAGTGTACAGAAATCTTCTTGCATTTCTTCTACTCATGGGAGACTATCTGCTCTAGTGACCCTTAGAGTTGATGAGATTCTTGAGACACGATGTGCCTGAAAAAAATGGTTGTTAACCTTGATTGTAGTATTGATGATCCTTAGGAGGCCAGAGTATCAAGCTCACGTCTTTTCTCTCTCAATTTTGTGGTACTAGTGCTGGTACAATTATTGTTTGATAAGGAGGATGAAAATGTTCAGAAAAAAGGTACCTATTTCCATTCCAACAACAGCTAACAGAAAACAAAAACACATCACAGAGGCTCTTATATTGAGGTGTAGAAGTTTTCTCAGACGTCAGGGTAAAATTGTATTTCTTCTTACAATCTTAGTATAGCAATACCAGGGTTAAGTGTTTTATAAATTACTACTCTCATAAGATGCTTAAATAGTTTCTCTGTATAGAAACACTAAGCTATCTTCTGGGCACAAATGGTTCTGAACTTTCACACCAGGCTGGCTCTATGTGGGGCAGGTTTATGTGGTGGAATTAGTGGGGTATAAGTAACCCCAATAGACATATTTCTCCCAACACCCATTCAAAACCATGTCTTCGAGGATCACTCTAGGAAGTTAAAGTGTTACAGACAAATGAATGCAAATACTTGGCGCTCATACATTTATTCCACACACTAGGGGGAGAAGTACAAAAAAGGAGAGTTTTGAAGGACTGAGAGTTGGAATAGGTAAATTTGATTAGCAAGAAAGGAAAAGAGAGACCAGACAGACCCGAGGGCACATTTGCTCTGAAGACTCTGGCGAGCCCATAGCAGTATGAGCCCAGCCCGATGTGTAGATGCAAAGAGGGAAAGGCAGGCACTGGAAGGAGCTCAAACATTACCCAGAAAACAGATTTTACCCACCGCAAAATTTTTTTTGAGAGGTAGCTCTTTTTTCCCATTCCTTAAGACCTTAACATTAAAGGGACTGCCCAGCTCCCGGCCCCTGTGCAACATTCTTAATAAGAGGCTGTGACAGGCAGAATAACGGCCCTCCAAAGACGCCCGTGTCCTAATTCTCAGAACCTATGAACATGTTTTCTTACATGGCAAGAGGGAACTAAGGTTACTAATCAGCTGACCTTAAAATAAGGTGAGTATCCTAGATTATCCTGGTGGGCCCAGTATAGTCGCAGGGTTCCTTTAAGTGTGGAAGAGTCAATGTCAGAGTGATGTGATGTGGGAAAGACTTTACCGTCCACAGTAAAAATGGACTTTTCCTTAGAACCTCCAGAAGGACCACAGGCCTGCTTGATTTTAGCCCAGGGAGATCTATTTTGGACGTCTGATCTCCAGAACTGTAAGTAATAAATTTTTGTTGTTTTAAGCCCCTAAATTTGTGATATTTTGTTGCAGCACCAGTAGGAAACTAATACAGAGGCTACTCTGCCCTTTGTTTTAAAGTCTAAAGTGACAGGAAAATCACTACTTTGCACAGTGGCCGGTTGTCATCTCCTTGTAATTCCATTTTTTTTCTCTCTCTGTTTTTCTGCTTACTTCCTTTCCTACTTTTCTCTTTTTCCAGTCTTTGAACCTT